TTAGATACAATATACATACATAGTAATAAATTAGATTAAATTAGAATCAAAAAAATAATGATAATAATAATAAATATTTTAAATATTTTATCCCACCAAATGTAGAACCAATGAGAAAGCTGTATTTTCATATTGGTTTTATTTCGTGTGCAGAATGGTAATATGCAGATAATAACACGTCCGTGGTTTAAACCATCATAGAGCTTATACCACAGTGCTTATACTTAGCAAGGTTTATGGCAAGGTGGATTTATATAAATTATTAATTTATTTAAATCCACCTTGGTTTATGGTTTAAACATTTAGTACGTCATACTATACTATATCATATAGTCCGTGGCTTAAACCATATTATGTCTATTATTATCTATGGTTTAAACACAGAATATATTCTGTGGTTTTATCATGAATCATCCCGAATATAGCAATTATTATAGTATAATTATAATCACGAACTAAGATTATAATATTAACTAAAAGTATAATTTTAATACTTAAAGTCTTAAAAGTACGACCACACAATATATGACTGACGCCGATAATTTGAGTATATTGTAAATGTTCATCAGAACCTTAAAYAATTTTTTGTAGCCCTAAATATTCTGAATAATGTACTAAAAATGTGCAATTTTTGTATTTTAAATTTCTGTATAAATTTGAATATCCATTTTAAATGATTGTTGAAAAAGTTATACAAATAGAACTAATCGTTTTGGAAGATTCATCTTTGAAAATCAATTGTATTTTATATAATAATATGCCTATTTTATTTATTTTATTTTACTTGCATTTATAGTTAAAGTTTTATATATTTTATGACGCTTGTAGAAAATAATCGTTACTAAATATTTAATATTTTTCAACTGATATTGTAACAATGAGTTAGGTGACTTTAATTCAAGCTTTTCTACCCAAAAAATACATTTTTAACGATATTTATAGAAAAAAAAATTAAAATGTCAGTAAACAGCTCAAACAAATCAAAATATTTTGAAAATTATATAAAATATCTAAAATGCTTATAAACATTCAGTGAAAATTTCAAGTATCTGTGCAGGACGCAGGTCATTTGATTTAGAGTTAGTAACTAACCTTCTAGGCCTATGTCGCCGAAGGTATATTTCGTTTAGTAAAAAAAAAAAACAAAAAAATGTCTACTTCTAAAATCAGTCAAATAATATACAGTCTCGCGAAGATTTACCCATTGCGATATCTTACGAAATAATAGAGATATCAAAATGCTGGTTTTATAATAAGATTCATAGGGGTATGAACTACAATTACTTCATTTTTAAATTTATATTAATATTTTTGTAAACAATTTAAGAAATATATTTTTTTATTTAATTATTTCCAAAAAAATTAAAGATGGACATTATGTAGAGTTTATTGTTCTAA